CATGATGCAAGGAAATGCTGTGAAGTTTATGCGATAAGCCTTAAGACATACGATGCTTGAAGTTTATTGAGGATATGTATTTAAATTCAATTTGACGCTAATAATGCCCCTTTTTCGCAGGTAGTTTCGTCTTCTGACTTTCCCGCACTGAAGACCAGGTAATACACTTTTTTTCCCAGGAAAATCACATCTCATGTGTTTACATGGCTGTTTCAGAGAATCAGGCAGCAGCACTTTAAGTCTGTTGAAACGGCGTGACGCGTTGTGGAAGACTAGTGATTTTGTTGTTGTACATTCTTGTTCTTGACAACAAGTCCCAGTCTCCCTCAGCGAGTCGCGCCACCACGTCTTCTTCAGCCTTCCTCTTTGTTTCTTCTGAGTTTTTTCACCTCAAGTGTCCACATGGCTGTGACTTACAATTATAATCAGTTCCTGTGGATATCGTTTTGCTCCTGGAGACTGAATATTATCACAAACCAAGCAAATTGAATACATTGAATGGGTATAGCAGAACAAATCTAGCCAACAAAATCGTAAAATGTTAAGGATTATCCTTAACAACTGGCTTACGGCCCTGCAACAGTTTCTTGTAAAGCTAATTCCTTTAAACCATATACCACTTACTGTTATTGTGAAAGAGAATATTTATGAGAAAAAGAAGCAAATACCCTAGTAACACTTGGGCTACCAGGTGCCAGATGAACAAATAGTTTCAAATGGATCCAACAGGACTGCGAGTCAACACTGTCAAATCAAACGGAGAAAGAAAGAAAAATAAATATTGTCTGTTTTATTGCTGTCCTTGCTTGCATATGACTTGTACTGTATACATTTCCAACTGTACCTGCAATAAAATTGAGAGCATGTAGCTGGTCCGTGTGAGCTGATTAATGTTCCGCGCTCTGCATATTCACCCCATTGTACATCTCAGCCAGACTCCAACTGTGGCAATCAATTCAATCAGCAGTGCTTATGAACCCATTACAATCTAGCTGAGAGCAGGCGGGGGCCGCATCCTTCAACTGGCCTCAGAGTAATTACTATTTAGTCAAGCTAAAAAGCGTAGATGGATAAATGGATGGATGGACTAATAAAACATATCCCTAATGATTCGCATGTGACTATGAATATGCATTACAGCAATTGGGCAATAGGAGTGGGTGTTGTGTTATTTACTCCTTACCCCCACTCATCCGAGAACGCTGTAGCAAGTTGCCATGGGGACTAACGAGTGTCATAGCAACCAAGGTGAATGTTCAATCCCTATCCCAGTTCCGAAGGCCAGAGGTCTCGTGGCGCTTCGAGGACTTATACGGGGCCTCGAGAGCATAAAATACGATAAAGGAAAGTTGTTGGCATCAACCCCGCCAGAGTTGGTCCTCCACCCTCACCTCGAGTAGAATTATAGGCTTCGTCTGCAGAAGAAAGGGATTTTAACAATGCTAATGTGAAACCTTCATGCATTGTTGGACCACTGACCTCTGATGCCTGGCGTATAGGCCTACTGGCGCTGTAAGGTTGTGTGTGTGCTTGTTTGTAGGAAAGGTACACGTCTTGTCAAATAATCCAAATGATCCTAGGCCTTAATATCGATGATAAATACTTATTCATAAACCACACAAAATCAATTTTTTTGCATTTTATTTCCGTTTTTGTAGCTTTAAGGTTGGAAAATATCATTCACCATATGACAGGGCTATCACTATAATACATATATACATATTGGATGATATTGTTCTAAGTCATTAGATGTCATTGTCATTGTATCTTTTACATGAATTTCCACAAAATTCTGAATCTCAAACCAGCAGCCAAATTGTTTGTCTAGGCCTCATTCAATATCTTCCTTATTCTTACATTTGTTCTTGAGAAAGGTCTTAAGAAAAGACTACGTCGGGTTCTGGACATGGCATTTGTTTTTCATACCTGTGATCTTATAATGATTATAACAATTGTTCTTTAAAAATAAAAAGGCATGCCTGTTGTATAGCTCACATGGTAGAAATGGCGGCTCAGTCCCCATTCAGAGGACCGGGGTTTCAAACTCGGCCTGGGACCATTGGCTGCATTTCATCCCCTATTTCTCCGCCAATCCACATAAAAGGGTATAAGATTGCAGGGATGTGTTCACCGAAATTTTAAATTTTAAATGTCGGGAATTAAAAAAAGAATGCCCTAACAAATGGGGGTGGAGCACCAGACTCAAAACAAAAACAAAATCTGAAGTGCAGGTACTGTTATTAACATTAAAAAGTTTGATATCTGTAGCGTCAGTGTGCTTATAAATGATCCATCATGAATTATTGGATGGCATGGTTCCCATTGAAGTGTTAATGACATCCTATTAAAAGATAATAATGCTTTGTAACATTTTGAAAATATATTATAGATGTATTATTGTAAATCAAACCCTATATTATAGAAATGTAGAATTGAAGAAAAAGCAATATCCAATTTTAGGGCACACACATGGCAGCCCTCAAATGAATCATAGATTCTGCTCTTAACTCATAATAGAATCCCAAATGACAAGAAATGTGTAAAAAAAAACCCATACAGTAAGTTGATTTTATAATAATATTTTTTGCCTTAAGAAGGGTTGGTGATTTGAGGCACATTGTTGTGTTTGGCTGCAGGTCGGTGAGGGTCAAAGAGGTTGAATGAACCAGAGCAGATTGTACTTGTTTACACATTTCTATTCCATTCTTTTTGCAAGGGCTACAAGGACACAGCCCTGTACTCCATCAAGCACCCACTCTCCTCGTTAACTGGTTTTGACCACAAATAGCCTGAGGTCCAGCGACAAACACATTTAATTGCTGTATGAAATGATTGCATATTTGTTAGCCTCTACACCCCTAGCATTTGTTTTTGTATTGAATAAATGCCCATTGATTTGACTCATGATGAAAGGTTCTACTGTAAATGAATAACATTGTCTTATGGCATGTTTTGGGAATAAAGAAAGATTTTGTTATCAAATGCCACTTGAATTATTTGACGATGACAACATTTTATTTTTTACTCTGTCACTGTCAGTTTGGTTTTCAAGCTCATTTAAATATTTGAAGACTGGCATGTTTTATAATAAACATGGATTAAGTTGTCCAAGATTGCTGGAACAACACATCAGTTTGAGGATAGAAAGCCAAATCTCTTGATCGGGATGTCAATAGAAGTTTTTTTGGAAAACAGTCAGCCTAAGAATCAGTGACAATTGCTATAAAATGTAAATACTGCTTGACATGGATATCATTTTTCTATGGCGCATTTATTGCAAAGCAATAGACATATTAGCAATTATGGTTTAAGTTATAAGCATGTATTAAGATACGGTTTCAGATATATAATGTTCTATCAACAACTTAGTGTTAAAATCGATTTTTAAGGAAGATTTCTATATAATTTGTTTGTTTTCTTCTGTGAACTACTCTGCTGTACCATTATTACAACACACACTTGATACACAACAAAAGGTCACTGGAAATACATTGACACCGGATCAACCAAAAGTCAGATAAATTCAACGACAAATTCTTGCCATGCCCTATAAAATGACTAATTTCTAAATGAATAATTAAAATCTGGCGTCCCTATTCGTATACAGGGCAACATTCTTAGTCTGTACTCTACAAAACAGTAACCAATCAGTGTGGCAAAAAAAATCGATCATATTATTTGATTATAAGGGTTGCCTAGGTTTAAGCACTGTAGGGAAAAATCACAGTTGGGGTTTTGGGTCTTTACATCTAAGTCCTTAGGTGCTTTTTAAAAATGTATTTAATTACTTCAAGGAAAACATTTGGGACGGGAACAACTTTAATGAATATCATTTGGCGTCTCGCAGGGCCCCATTCCTGGTCCTCTATTATAACTCCTGCAAACGCAATTTTGTTTTAGCCTTAGATTGTCTGTTTGTCTGTGCAAAATTACAAACTAAATTTTCATAAAAACTTAGTAGTGGAAGGGATGTTTCTTGGGTGAAGGAAGAACCGATTACATTTCAGACCTGATCCAAAACACGGGGCAGATACAAAGATTAGGTTTTACTTAAAGGTGACCTATCATGCAAAATGCACTTTTGTACGTCTTTTATACATGAATATGTGTCCCCGGTGTTCCAGGGAACTCACCAAGTGTCAGAAAACACAAGCCTCTCTATTTCCCTCCATACCCAAATCTCTTAAAAAGGGGCTGCAACGGATCTGATACAGACTGATCCAGATTTGAACACTTCTATGACATCACAGAAGTGGCGCTACGGCTATTGGGCCAACTCCACCAATCAGGAGGAGACAGCCACGGAAATTGCCGTTCGAAAGCGCTGGAGACGCTGTAGTACATATGCCAGGGCTGTAGATGGGGACGGTTCTCACAGAATCAGCCCATGCAAAGACAGTGTTAAATTGAGCGAAATGAGGAATGGCTAAAATGCATGATCTGTTTGGTATTTTGAAAAATTAAAAAAGTATAAATATGCCTTATATAGGTATGGTCCTACACTATATTATTCAAATATAGCATGATAGGTCCACTTTAAAGTCAAATTTTCAAAATGTGGGCATTTGTTGTGCATAATTTGGTGTTGGGATAGTTTAAAAAATGAGATCCCAAATAGAAAAATTTAAAGCACCTTCAAGAAGGAGCAACTAATAAACATATATTAATATGTTATTTAACGTTCTGAACCACTGAATACAAGAACACATGTTCTTTGTAACCTACATGTGGTCTTCATTAAAAGCTCATGAACACATACTGTAGAAGTCCAAACAATACACCATCCGCCTTGGTGGAGGTTTGTGCACTCTTCTCACCAATGTCCAAGTCACGCTCACACATGTATAATTTTTAACTGAGGGAGATGAGTAACAGCTTGTCAAAATGTTAAATGTTAGAAAATGCAATTATAGGGAATTACATTTTTAAGAGAAAATAAGAGTATATTACAAGATCAAGTATATCACAATATGCTTTGATGACAGGAAGAGACTTAACAGATTGGTTAAAACCCTTAGATGCAGAAGTGGGTCTTTTTTGACCCGGTGAAGTGGTTTTCTTGAAGTATCTTTGTAATGACATTTTTTTATCATTTCATATTCCAGCTATTCTTCAAAAAACATGTTTTGGATATCATGCCATTCAAAAAATGTATTTACATTTTAAGAAATTGT